CGCTTTACTGGAAGGTACGATTTGTGATTAATAAATATCAAGGGGTTCACGTACATATGGAATGTCACGAACTTTCGCACGTATCAGCGAAACAATGATAACAGGCAGATAAAGGTGGTTAAGGGCGGTTAGGTGTGGATGGGTTAAAAAAGGGGATGTATAAACTAAGATCTAGAAAAGCAATTTCTACTTCTTCCACAGTTATTTCCCTTGCGATCCCCCTTACGTGACAGAAGAAGTGAAAGAAGCACTGTCTTTCAAACAAGCCAGGCTTAAAATGGAAGAGGAATTGGATAAGATACAACAGGATATGTACAAGTCAGTGCCTTTCTTCAGCACAAGATACAAGGTTGGTTGAGTTGTGGATTGTGTATAGTTTGTTGTTTGAAGTCCTTTAAGTAAGCGTTTTATAACGTACGTAGCGGCAGGGTCTGGGGGGTGAATCCAGTTTGAAACTGCGGTTTATTCTGGCCAAGTCTTATTAAGCAAGGGTTAATCTCTATAATTAACAATTTTTCATTCAGTACCCTTAATTCACATTGTGTACCTACATTCTCAGGAAGCCTATTTCTCCGTAAGTCCTCAGCTTCTATGCAGGCTTAATCCTTGCCATTATCTCTGTATTATATATATTTTAAATTTATTGTGTTTTGCCAATTATAAACGTTCAGCTAATGGCTAATGGCAAAATGAATCAATGAAGGAATAAATGAATGAAAGAATGAATGAATGAATAAATTCTAATTCAAAAAGTCATTAATAATTCATAAAGAAAACTTTAGACTTTACGTCCAACTTTTTAGACCAAAGTAACCCCAAATCTAAATGTTAGTGCAAGAATGAGTTGATCTATATCAGAGATTTTGAAGCCCTTCAAAACCTCGCAGTCGTGTATTATCAGGTTTAAAAACTCGAGGCGAAAAACACTCCTGCTCGTTTTTAAAACAGTACCTAAAGCGTATTTGACCACGATTAAATCTCATCTGTTAATTCTTGTAAGTGCAAGGGTAAATTAACTTGCAGGGACACGTGATCTGGGACACCAATGTACCAGCTAATCTTGGATACATAGCTTCAATACTGTGGCATCAGAACAATTGTATTCAAGAGGCAAGCCCTGTAACAACGATGTACGAATTAGAGGCCGGTAGTGACTTGTGTGAGATGCTGGGGCTGGATCGAAATGAAAGTATGGGACATTTGGTAACTGGAGGATCAGTTGCAAACATTGAAGCCATGTGGGTAGCTAGGAATCTGAAATTCTACCCACTGGGGCTTCAAGAGGCTTTGAAAAAAGAGAAGTTAGCAGGAGCGCGTGAATACGAGGTAATGTTAGAGAACAAGAAACCCATTGTTTGTCATTTCTTAAGAAAACTGCCACCAAGATTATCAAACAGTGGGACCAAAAACCTTTAACCCCTCCACTGCCAAATTCTGAGCTAAAAGCAAATTTCGACCAAATTTCATTTTGTGAAATTTTGAAAAATAAATAGCACCTTGTGCAAATACAGGCAGAGAGCGTTCATTTGAATGGTCAGATCATAGGATTTCGTCCACAGACTCAAAAGTTAGAGTCACCTTACAAAACTCTATCAAGTACTCGGGCAGTGAAAGGGTTAAATTACATCATTTGCTTTTTTTTGATTTCCTCTATGTAAAACATTTTTAAATCCTTAACAGGCTTTTTAACGGACGTTTACTTTTTTTCTGTTGGTATAATTTAGTTAACGTAGCTTTAACGCTAATCCAAACTGTTTGGTGGATGATTTCGTCACATTTTTAAAACTGAACGTGAAAACAAGTTTCGCTGGAAATGGTTGAAGCGAGAGCTAAAAAATATGAACTGTTGAAGCTTGACTGCCACTAAATAAAAATTTCTAATCTGTGTCAATTTTGTTATGAAGACGTACGAGAATAGTTCTACAGTTTTGGCTCCGTGTGAAGGAAATTCCATAGTAAAACCAGTCAGATGTAGTTTCTTGGTAGGAAAGTCATGTTAACATTTGTCGTTCAAAAAGCCATGCCCCAAAAAAGAAAATAACTTTATATTTTGAGTTAATAGGTTTATTAAGTCTCAACTGAATTTTAGATATACCTGCCTCAAAAAGGAAAAGACGTTCGTCTTGTGAAAGCCACGAAATGGGAGCTACTTAATCTGGATACTGATACAATTCTGAAGATGCCATCCGATGTGAGCAAAAAAGCCGGTATTAGCGAAGACGAGCTTAGCAATCTTTTGACAAATCACCTCTACGAGTGTATTGGTATCACTGAATTTAACAAGCGTCACGGGCTGACCCAGAATCCTTGTGTTGTGGCAGCAAGTACCTATCACGTGTCTTTCGACAAAGCCATGACCATTCTGGGGATCGGAAGGGAAAACCTTGTGCATGTGCCAGTGGACGAGGATGCTCGAATAAAAACAGACCGTAAGTATTTAGTATGAGAAGAAGTTTGATTACAAGTAAGAAACGCAAACGCCCTATATATCAGGCACGCTTACATTTTTTCACATTAGTTGCGATCGAACGCTCCTGTCAGCACTCCGCGTTCCCACATGCGCGAGGTCTCTACTTTTTCGTTTCCTGACAAATGGGAAAAATGCAGTCTCTCGTCATTATGTCAGTTTTAGTTTATTAGGTCTCTAGTCACTATAAGTTGGATTGCTTTCCTGAAAACATGACCGCCTAGATTAGCGTAGCTATCTGCAGGCATGTTATAATTGTATTTAAAACTTTGAAGACAAATAAGAAAATGTATGTAGGGGGTGTTGTTAGTCAGGGGGCTTAATGGGGCAGTGTTTGTGTAAACGTCAGTAGAATAATTATAGTAATCGACTCATTACAACTACCCTGGTTATTCTTCATTACCAGTATTGCTTGATGTTCTGAATGAGAAGTTGAAGAATCACATTCCTGTAATTAGCGTGATAAGCATCATGGGAACAACGGAAGAGAGTGCTGTTGATCCATTGGACAAGATCTTGGAAATACGCGATCAATTGAAAAAGCAGGTACGACAGTCTTTTTTCCAACATATGCTCTAAAAACGTCATCAACTTCTCTGTTTCTTTTATTTGGAATAAATGAGCTTTTACAGATGTAATTACCAGACATGTAGACAGTACTACTAAAGTTCACACCCTGTTCAAGGCATCTGGACCAGATAGACACCCTGTTCAAGACACTGAATAGTGAAATTGTGTACCCTGTTCTAGACTTCGCCTAGTCCTTGTACGGCGTTTCCCAGGCCTCCTCCGTCAATTCACTTCGGTGACGTATATGAGGCTCGGACCACGTGACCCAAAATGCATTGGCCGCACGGAATAATAACGCCTAAGGACTAGGCAATTATAGACTCAAGTCCTTGAAAACCATACTCCAGTCGGCGGCGCATACCCGATTAGGCCAAGTAAGGGAGTGCTCTCCCCAAGGGGGGTATACACAACCCATGAATAGCAATCATGTCTTTTCTTGATCAGGGGCTCAATTTTAGCATCCACGCAGACGCCGCCTGGGGAGCTTACTTTGCGAGCATGCTACGGGACCCACCAGCAGGCCTATCCAAGCAGAACGTTGAAGACGAAGGGTTTGTTCCTGAACTTTCCCTCAATGAATTTGTCATCAAGCAGATGGAGGTATTTCTAGCCCTTAACCCTTTAAACCCTAACATCAAAATTAAAGTTCTTATTTGATTCAAGTGCACTTGGAAATCTTAAGTCGCTCTATAGAACACATGGCTTCACACTTGTTGACAAAGTATATTACTTGAAGTAAAAGCTGTCAATCTCTCCCTTCATTCAGGGAGAATCTTGGAACCGCTGAACGTACTCATAGTGCAATTGGCTTCCATTTCTTAATGGTCAAGTGTGTTCTCAAGTGTGGTGTAGACCATACTTGGCCGCGAACTTCGGCTTCTTTGAACTACGAACGTTTCCATGGTCACCAATTAACGTTGAAGTAGGTACATTTTACCCTTTCACACTCAAAATAGGTTCCAAGTACACTTACATTATACTTGAAGCTCTAGTGAGAAACCCACAAATTTGCATACCTCTACAGTACAGAATGCGATTTCCAATTCATAGTTATTACAATTACATGTACAAATAATTTGTCTATGTGTTTCTTGAAGAAAATTAAAGAATGTGACACTATCACTGGCGACCCACACAAATCGGGATTCTGCCCGTATCCGGCCGGGGCAATATGCTATCGCAAAAAGGAGCTGAACAACTTTGTCAACTTCACGAGCGAAACAGTTTATTATCATGGGAAAAATAACCTTGGGGATCTGGGCATTGAAGGTTCAAAGCCCGGTTCGGCTGCCTCGGCCGTGCATATGGCCAACAAGGTAATCGTTTCCTTGTTAATCTTGTTATGTTTTGAGAGAAAGGGGGAAGAAACGTCAGTTCTTTGAGAAGATACTGATAAAGACAAAAAATTGGAGATATCATATTCGGATGCAGTTGTTCAACACAGTATTATATCACGGCAATCGGTTTCCTGGGAGCACTACTCTCTTCTTTAAAGTTTCATTTCGCTACAAACGGTTTCTCCTGACCGATTAACCCACGACTGCTTCCCTGGTGGACATCTTATTAATTTTGAACCCGGCGCATGAGCTTTATAAGCTTAAATTTAAAACGAAGACAAACATGCCTCTTAAATACAGGTTGTAGTTAAAACCAGGAGAAGCATCAGGTGGAGATGTGCTTCGGAAATGTGGTTTTCAGGATGTTTTAAAATAACTTTTAAATTCCGATTTCTCTTCAGTAGATTAGGATTTATGTCAGCCATTTGCTGATTAAATTTGCCCGCTGATTAAGATATAACAAGCAAATGTCGGTATTCATTCTCCTCTTAGGTTATTGGTCTTCACAAGGATGGTTATGGCCGACTTTTAGCTGAATGTATGTTTACTGCAAAGGTCCTTTACTGCTACTTGGTTTGCATGGCAGAAGATGATGACGATTTCGTTGTTGAGATGACAAAGCCCCTACCTGCTGGTGTCACGAAAGACTACATAAGGAACAACATCATCGGAAAAACCAACGAGGAACTGGCGAATGTAAAGTGTTATAGTCATTTTCACCGTTACGCGGTCTTTGTAATCACAATTACTTGGAAATAGACAGGGTACCTTACAATGAAATTAGATGATGACTCGTAGAAGCAAAACAATTCCTAGTAACTCCCAGTTTGATTAAAGTTGATACCTCAGTTGTCTACAATTCATACTGCTCTTTATACTGCAGTTCATACTAGTTAGCGTTAAGTCTCCGGGCGTTGGATACAGCTTGGTTTAATTTGTACTTGATGGCAGTTACCAAATTGTCAAGTCGAAGGGGCATATTATGAAAAGGATTTTTTCGTTTAGAATTTGGAGGGGTTGTATTCAGTGTGTTACAAGGTGCCCTGCTATTTGAGGCCGGGTTACTTTCCTGAATTCTACCGACCTCATTTTACCGACCTCATACCTGTAGAACAAATATTAAAAAATTTTCGATCCTGTTTCAAGGTCCTAGAATATGGAATTCATTACCAAACGACATCAAAAATGCCCCGTCTTTTAGTATATTCAACTGTGTGATCAAACCATTTTTAAGGGTCAGACAGAATGCAACCTAAATACCTTAACACCTCATATCTATATTTTCCTCTAAACACACTTATATACTTGAATAAACGACTTTTTTCTTTATTTCTTAAAATGCCGCCTAGTATTTAAATTGCCCGTGGGGGGAAATCTCTATTCCTCATACGCTCGGCTTCTCGGAGATTTCCCCGCCACAGTCACTCCTCCCAAGTAATGCACAAATTTTAAATTTAATGTTAATTAACCTATTTATTATCGTTTTTATTCTGCTTGTAATTCATTGTGTGTGGCAAAATAATAAAATAAATAAAAATAAATAATTCTACGTTACGCACCGTTTTTCCTTCTCAACAGGACGATGAGCTGATGAAAACACTTCGAAGAGTTGGCCCTGACACTTTGATTCCCTGTTTCGCGGTTAATATCCGTGATAATAAGGATGTTCAAATAGCCAACGAAGTCAACCAAGCAGTTTTTAACGACCTGTCTCACATATCAGCTGAAGAAACAAGCCAGCGGATTCCTTTGATTGTGACTCTATCCACCATGGAAGCTCTCAAGCACCCTTTAAAAGCATTCAAGAAAAGGCTTGGGGTACGCATGCCAATTACGGCTTTAAGATTCTAACAGTTCTTACTAACGTAAGCATGAAAATCTCCATCGAGCGCAGCGGAAAGGCCACTGTAGCTAATTTAAACTTGGGTTACACCTTGTTTACTTTGAAACCCCATCATATGCAACAACGTCCTAGATCGAGCGAGAAAGGCTTGTTACTATTCCATAGCAATAACTCGAGACCCCCTGAGGGGAATAAAGATGGGGAAAGTACGATTAACTAGCTTAAAAGCAGAAAAGTAAAACAAAGTTTTGTGTCAGTTCTTTTCAACTTATTATGACTATAATAATAATAATTATTATTATTAATTATTATCATCAACTCTCTTATTTTTGATGATCAAATAAAGCTTGACCCCGACCACAAAGATGGAGTGAAATACATTATAACAACCTGTTTGGATCCGTGGTCAACCTCACTGGATTTTGTGGATGACATGGCTGCCATACTAAGAAATGCCACCCTTAACGCCATTGGAACAGTAAGTGCATAGGGTGGGATTCCTGTGTTTGCTTTCACACTACAGGGCCCAGCTGTCCGAAGGCCGATTAGCGCTTAACCCGGGGTTAAATTTAACATGGGTTTCCTTTTTTTTGTTCTAAAGCATTTTCTCGGATTATTTTCTCTGTTATTCTTACGAGTATCCAATCATTAACCTGTTGACAGAAAGAATTAAACCGAATTTACTTTTTGAACTTTTAAATCTGAATTCAAATTTCGCACTAACCCTGGGTTATCTTAACCCAGCTTTGAACAACCCGGCCCAGGACAAACTCCTTTGGCTGGGTGTTTTCTAACAACATGCGCAAAATCAAAAGAGTTTTGAACGGAAAAAAGCACCTATTGCTATCAACAGCTTTTCATAGCAAAATGACAGGTAAACGAGAAAATTAAAGCAGCCAAATCATAGGCAGAAATAAGCATTAGAAGATTAGTAAAAATATTCCAAAGATGGATGAAATATCATGACAAAAATGATTGCTCTTTCTGGGTGAGCCTGTAGCGGTGTATAACTTCTAAAGCAAGAGCCGACTAGAGAGGGTATTTGTCGTTTCAAATTATCTAGCACATACTCATTCTCACTGGCACCTGAATACTAGTTTTTCACCTTGGAAAAAAAGCAATGACATCCACTCTGGATTAATTAAACGTTCCTGAGAGTTGTCAGTTCTACGCCTTAAATAGTCTTGGGGCTAATATTGATTTAACCAAGTCTAAAAGCGGAGCTCGTGCTCATGGATAGATAAATACATTTCCTTACCCATGGTGTCTAGTTATAAGTCTTATTACTTTCTTCGTGAATTTTTTTTCCAAATTAGGTTCAGGACCAAGAGGACAATCACTCCTTTGTCAGCGGTGACAGGGTGAATGGAAACAAAGAAATCTTTGTCTGCTATGTAGGTAACTTCAACCAGCCTCAGCGTCAGTACTTCGCGGTTGCTAGGTTCCGTTTTACTTCTGATGAAGACGTGCGCACATTTGAGGATAAGTCAAGTACCACCTCCAAACCGATCGTTCTGCGAAGTTCCCAGAAGAAAATTCTCCATAATGTCTTGTATAACGACACCGGATCGCTGGAAGAGGAGTTTGACTTTTACGAAGGTCTTCCAACTGAGAGCAGTAAGCCCTTCATGCGTAACAGAATGATGAAAGTCGTTGATGTCCCTCGCTATGACCATTTTGACAAAGCTGATGACCAGTACCCTGAGTCTGCAACCTACATCTTGTACGGCGACGTAGGACATGCCTACCTGTTCCATTCACCGACTAAAGACCCAGATTACCTACAGGTAAAGTTACTCGGGACTAAATTAAAATCTTTTTTTTATGTTACGAGCAGTTGGCGATCGTGGATAATTGTCCAGACTTGACATACCAACCGGACTCTCAGTTGTCATGAAGGAAATCATAGGTTTGTAACTTTTCAATTCGTGTTGAGGCCCAAAACTTTACCCGCCCTACATACAGTGTTTGACTACTGTAAGGTCAAAGGCTTTTAAATGGACGTAATTATACATTATTATATACATGTTTTTTTCTCTAAGGGCTGCAAGAATTTAAGTACCAAGAAAGAGTCTCATCTATATGGACACCTAGACATAATTTTTTACCTAAAGAAAACGCTTTATTAAGAATCCCCCTCAAGTTAACCACGTCTTGAGCTTTAAGTTTATAGCAAGTCCCTCACCACCTCAGCCCTCCTCTCACGAAACCACAGAAGGCACAATGTCTTAGGTCACTGCTTGTTTTTTTCTCAACATTTCAAATTCCAATTTCAATCGTTGCGTAAAGTTGCATACGGCTAAGGAAGCTAAATGTGCTTAAGTACCACGTTTGTCTGATTGTACGTGGCAAGTGCAAGCAGACAGTATAGTGTATCGCTACATTCAAACAAAGAAATTCATGCATGTATCATGTCGTCTTTGATTGCTTGAAAGTTTAGGACTACGCCCCCTTGTATAGCAAGCCCAAAAAGTCCCACCCCCCGTCATTGCAACTCCGGTGAGGGACTTTTGAATAGGTTATACTACTTCTTCTATCGGGGCCACCTTTCCCAAAGTGAAATTCAAGTGACTCACTGAGCCCTTTCTACGCAGCGGTTATTTGTCTCTCCACGCGCAAGTACTACATGCTAGCGCTACATAAAATAATTGAGACAGAAAAAGGACTACTTTAGACATTTAACGACTGGTAAGGGCATGAAAGGACGAATAGGTACAGAAAAGTGCATATGAGGACAGAAAAGAACAAGCGAGGAGTAAAAAGTACAGAAAAGAAAGAGCATGAGGAAAGTATTTCAGTGTGCACACGCACAGTTCTCAATTAATTTATGTTGCACGGCTATATGGTTTGCTAACATGTGTTTTATGCCCGTCACTCAACGTCAAGCTCCTCTCCTCCTTATTTGGGGAGGAGCGTTGCGTGACGTGACAAATAACAGCTGTGTGAGAGACTATTTCTGTACTCTCTTTTGCTCACGATGTCGTCTTTTTTCTTTTTCATCGCCTAGATTGTACGTCTTGCAGAAGCCCCTTCTGGTCTCGGTGAATCTCAAGAAAAAGATATGATCCTCAAACAAGGCGTAAATGCTGAACTCTTGGATGTCCCTGGATCACCTCAGTTTGACCCGGAAGGAAAGATTGTTGACCCTCTGCAAAACCCAACGAACCAGTACGAGATAAATTTCATCGGAATTGATGGGAAGGAAGTGAAAACGCCTGTTGTGATAGAACAGAAGATTTGGTTTGATGGCGAAATTTTGAACAAGTCCGTGGTATCTTAAACGCTTCATGTGGTTAAATACCACCTAGAGCCATTCCGCGTTTTTGTCTTGATAGTAACTAACACGCCATCGGAGATTTCCCCGCCACAGTCACTCCTCCCAAGTAATGCACAAATTTTAAATTTAATGTTAATTAACCTATTTATTATCGTTTTTATTCTGCTTGTAATTCATTGTGTGTGGCAAAATAATAAAATAAATAAAAATAAATAATTCTACGTTACGCACGGTTTTTCCTTCTCAACAGGACGATGAGCTGATGAAAACACTTCGAAGAGTTGGCCCTGACACTTTGATTCCCTGTTTCGCGGTTAATATCCGTGATAATAAGGATGTTCAAATAGCCAACGAAGTCAACCAAGCAGTTTTTAACGACCTGTCTCACATATCAGCTGAAGAAACAAGCCAGCGGATTCCTTTGATTGTGACTCTATCCACCATGGAAGCTCTCAAGCACCCTTTAAAAGCATTCAAGAAAAGGCTTGGGGTACGCATGCCAATTACGGCTTTAAGATTCTAACAGTTCTTACTAACGTAAGCATGAAAATCTCCATCGAGCGCAGCGGAAAGGCCACTGTAGCTAATTTAAACTTGGGTTACACCTTGTTTACTTTGAAACCCCATCATATGCAACAACGTCCTAGATCGAGCGAGAAAGGCTTGTTACTATTCCATAGCAATAACTCGAGACCCCCTGAGGGGAATAAAGATGGGGAAAGTACGATTAACTAGCTTAAAAGCAGAAAAGTAAAACAAAGTTTTGTGTCAGTTCTTTTCAACTTATTATGACTATAATAATAATAATTATTATTATTAATTATTATCATCAACTCTCTTATTTTTGATGATCAAATAAAGCTTGACCCCGACCACAAAGATGGAGTGAAATACATTATAACAACCTGTTTGGATCCGTGGTCAACCTCACTGGATTTTGTGGATGACATGGCTGCCATACTAAGAAATGCGACCCTTAACGCCATTGGAACAGTAAGTGCCTAGGGTGGGATTCCTGTGTTTGCTTTCACACTACAGGGCCCAGCTGTCCGAAGGCCGATTAGCGCTTAACCCGGGGTTAAATTTAACATGGGTTTCTTTTTTTTTGTTCAAAAGCATTTTCTCGGATTATTTTCTCTGTTATTCTTACGAGTATCCAATCATTAACCTGTTGACAGAAAGAATTAAACCGAATTTACTTTTTGAACTTTCAAATCTGAATTCAAATTTCGCACTAACCCTGGGTTATCTTAACCCAGCTTTGAACAACCCGGCCCAGGACAAACTCCTTTGGCTGGGTGTTTTCTAACAACATGCGCAAAATCAAAAGAGTTTTGAACGGAAAAAAGCACCTACTGCTATCAACAGTTTTTCATAGCAAAATGACAGGTAAACGAGAAAATTAAAGCAGCCAAATCATAGGTAGAAATAAGCATTAGAAGATTAGTAAAAATATTCCAAAGATGGATGAAATATCATGAACAAAAATGATTGCTCTTTCTGGGTGAGCCTGTAGCGGTGTATAACTTCTAAAGCAAGAGCCGACTAGAGAGGGTATTTGTCGTTTCAAATTATCTAGCACATACTCATTCTCACTGGCACCTGAATACTAGTTTTTCACCTTGGAAAAAAAGCAATGACATCCACTCTGGATTAATTAAACGTTCCTGAGAGTTGTCAGTTCTACGCCTTAAATAGTCTTGGGGCTAATATTGATTTAACCAAGTCTAAAAGCGGAGCTCGTGCGCATGGATAGATAAATACATTTCCTTACCTATGGTGTCTAGTTATAAGTCTTATTACTTTCTTCGTGAATTTTTTTTCCAAATTAGGTTCAGGACCAAGAGGACAATCACTCCTTTGTCAGCGGTGACAGGGTGAATGGAAACAAAGAAATCTTTGTCTGCTATGTAGGCAACTTCAACCAGCTTCAGCGTCAGTACCTCACGGTTGCTAGGTTCCGTTTTACTTCTGATGAAGACGTGCGCACATTTGAGGATAAGTCAAGTACCACCTCCAAACCGATCGTACTGCGAAGTTCCAAGAAGAAAATTCTTCATAATGTCTTGTACAACGACACCGGATCGCTGGAAGAGGAGTTTGACTTTTACGAAGGTCTTCCAACTGAGAGCAGTAAGCCCTTCATGCGTAACAGAATGATGAAAGTCGTTGATGTCCCTCGCTATGACCATTTTGACAAAGCTGATGACCAGTACCCTGAGTCTGCAACCTACATCTTGTACGGCGACGTAGGACATGCCTACCTGTTCCATTCACCGACTAAAGACCCAGATTACCTACAGGTAAAGTTACTCGGGACTAAATTAAAATCTTTTTTTTATGTTACGAGCAGTTGGCGATCGTGGATAATTGTCCAGACTTGACATACCAACCGGACTCTCAGTTGTCATGAAGGAAATCATAGGTTTGTAACTTTTCAATTCGTGTTGAGGCCCAAAACTTTACCCGCCCTACATACAGTGTTTGACTACTGTAAGGTCAAAGGCTTTTAAATGGACGTAATTATACATTATTATATACATGTTTTTTTCTCTAAGGGCTGCAAGAATTTAAGTACCAAGAAAGAGTCTCATCTATATGGACACCTAGACATAATTTTTCACCTAAAGAAAACGCTTTATTAAGAATACCCCTCAAGTTAACCACGTCTTGAGCTTTAAGTTTATAGCAAGTCCCTCACCACCTCAGCCCTCCTCTCACGAAACCACAGAAGGCACAATGTCTTAGGTCATTACTGGTTTTTTCTCAACATTTCAAATTCCAATTTCAATCGTTGCGTACAGTTGCATACGGCTAAGGAAGCTAAATGTGCTTAAGTACCACGTTTGTCTGACTGTACGTGGCAAGTGCAAGCAGACAGTATAGTGTATCGCTACATTCAAACAAAGAAATTCATGCATGTATCATGTCGTCTTTGATTGCTTGAAAGTTTAGGACTAAGCCCCCTTGTATAGCAAGCCCAAAAAGTCCTACCCCCCGTCATTGCAACTCCGGTGAGGGACTTTGGAATAGGTTATACTACTTCTTCTATCGGGGCCACCTTTCCCAAAGTGAAATTAAAGTGACTCACTTAGCCCTTTCTACGCAGCGGTTATTTGTCTCTCCACGCGCAAGTACTACATGCTAGCGCTACATAAAATAATTGAGACAGAAAAGGACTACTTTGGACATTTAACGACTGGTAAGGGCATGAAAGGACAAATAGGTACAGAAAAGTGCATATGAGGACAGAAAAGAACAAGCGAGGAGTAAAAAGTACAGAAAAGAAAGAGCATGAGGAAAGTATTTCAGTATGCACACGCACAGTGCTCAATTAATTTATGTTGCACGGCTATATGGTTTGCTAACATGCTCGTCACTCAACGTCAAGCTCCTCTCCTCCTTATTTGGGGAGGAGCGTTGCGTGACGTGACAAATAACAGCTGTGTGAGAGACTATTTCAGTACTCTCTTTTGCTCACGATGTCGTCTTTTTTCTTTTTCATCGCCTAGATTGTACGTCTTGCAGAAGCCCCTTCCGGTCTTGGTGAATCTCAAGACAAAGATATGATTCTCAAACAAGGTGTGAATGCTGAGCTCTTGGATGTGCCTGGAACACCCCAGTTTGACCCGGAAGGAAAGATTGTTGACCCTCTGCAAAACCCAACGAACCAGTACGAGATAAATTTCATCGGAATTGATGGGAAGGAAGTGAAAACGCCAGTTGTGATAGAACAGAAGATTTGGTTTGATGGCGAAATTTTGAACAAGTCCGTGGTATCTTAAACGCTTCATGTGGTTAAATACCACCTAGAGCCATTCCGCGTTTTTGTCTTGATAGTAACTAACACGCCAGTGGTTATAGAAATGTTGTGGAATAAGATAAGCACATTTTTGTAGCTTAGCCTACGGCCAGTAGGAGAATTGAATCCTGGAAGTTTTATAAACAATAGCTCAACCTACGAGAAGTCAGAATAATTTGTTTGAAATAATACTTTTAGGCCATTGCAAAGCCAACCATAAGAATAATATGATCGAACTACTGCAAGACCAGTGTATTGTTTAGCCTACAAGGAGTACCAGAAGCCGGATTATTTGATCAAATGACTGTTAGCTACTACTGGTTAGTCTACTGGCAAAACAACTTAAACAAACAGTAATAAGCCAACCTACCTATACGAGTGGAAAAAGTAATTCGAATAATTTAGGTGACCTAACGATGGTAAGTTATCTTTGCTCAGCTTATTGGTAGGATAATTTTGTGACATCTCACGCTATATATAGTTCAAAGCTACAATTTAGCTTAACGAACTCAGTAGAATAATTTAATCGAATGACTCTGAGCTATAAAACCATCAGTAGAATAATTATACTCTACAGGATTTTGATATAAACCAACGGTTTCCAGTTTTACTGCCACTCAATATTCTTTCAGCTTTCGCTTAGTTACTTTTTTTTTCGCCTCTGTGTGGGTATAGTAGACCTTTTGACCGGCTCTTTCGTCCACGCTGTTTTTTTGAACCATTTCTCGTGAAAGGGAAATTTTGATTCCAACAATGCAACCCGTTAACGCATGCGCTGTGCTATCTCATGGGATCTCCCACTCAGGAAGTCCCTTGACTAAATAGAAGTCATTTCTTAGTAATGAATCAAACCCTCAAGTATTTTGACTGTAATTTATTTGTATCTTTCTTTACTGACGTACCTGCTTACTTACTTACTTTCTTCATTTCATACTTTCGCAATTCCCGATTTTTATCAAATACAAAGTGCCCAGACCTCCCACGGTCATATCCTGCGTCAAAAATAGTGTTGCAACTCGCCAAGGCTCGCAACAAATATATTTTGATTATTTTATTATCTGTATTATCGCCTGGAGCAATTAATAATCCGTACAACAACGCCTACCTCCGTTATTTTTTCCCGCCGTTGGTTCCAAAAAGAATTATAAAGTTCTTTCTTGAGAGAAAAAATATAATATTATCTTAATTTTTTAAAAGCAAA